CCGGCCCCGCGGTAAGGTGCACTATCTCCTGACACCCCCGTCATCCCGTACTACTAAGCACTGCTATGCCAGCCTCAACTGTAAGCTACGTACTAGGAGGATAGCCCACCCTCAATCGTGAATGATGGACTGTATGTATTGACCCTGGATGATCTATTAGCCCTGTGCTGTATGGTAATCTGAGAGCAGACAATCCTCCGTTCCCTCGTATGTCCCTGGAGCCCGTTCCGGCCCTGCTGTAAAGTGCAGTGTCTCCTTTTTTTTTTCTTTTTTTTTTTTTTTGTGGAAGAAACAGCCCGAGCTGACGCTACTTCTCAAGAATGGTAGAGGAGGTAATACTGCTAGCATAATCACGGCTATCTGGCGGCCAATTTCTGGCTGAAGAGGCAGTTCTCCCTTTTCATCTCACATCCTGTTTTCCTAAAACAGATACCAGAACCATTGTATCAGTTGTATGAGGGACGCTGGACCCGCTTTCCAGCAGGTGCTGCTCCCCACCAATGGATGGAGTCTCCCCGAGAGTGCTAGCGGTGTCTGCCTAGTCAGCACCTCTTGCATTAACTTGGGTCTGTTTTCAGAAAAAAAAAAAAAAAAAAAAAAAAAGGGGGTGCTGGTAAGAGCAGACACCACTAGCGCCGTCAGGAAGGCTCCATCTATTGACACTCCCGACATCCCGTACAAAAACACTCTACACTCCCGACATCCCGTACTAAGGAACTGCTATGCCAGCCTCAATCCATTGACCACGTACTAAGAGGATGACCAGCCCTAAGATACAATCTGGTATCGAACACAGGACCTCATGTGAATTGTGCAAGTGACCTAACCTATTGCCCTACACTGTGAAATAGTCTGTAGTTGTGCTCTGCTGGGCTCAAGTAAACTGGACTATGCAAACCTCCCAGCAGTCTCATGACAACCCCATAGACCAAGAACATCAGGATACCCACCATCGCCCATACAGCACCCATGGACTACCGCTTGGGTGGTGCTCAGGCAGTGTCTGTAATAACTTAGTACCTGCACCATCCCAAGGGGGTGTGTGTCCAGCCGTGCATCGTTCTAACGCCCTGCCGGTGTCCATGCTCAAGGCTGCGGAGTTTTGAACCCGCAACCTCATAGTAGGCTCATACCAACCGGTGGTCTAACCACTGTCAGTGAGCTACATCTTTTCTTTTCTTTTTTTTTTCAGTATCTTTTACAACTTGAAGGGTCAGTGGAGTTTAACTCAAAAAAAAAAAAAAAAAAAAAAAAAAAAGGATCAGTGGACCAGGTTTTAGAGCAGGTCCAGCTCCCCGCTAATAGATGGAGCCTTCAACCACGAAGCCACTTTAGGAAGGTGCTCTTATCACCCCCTTAAGTGGAACCCCCTTCAGCTCCCCACTAATAGATGGAGCTTTCAACAAGCAAGCAGGGTGCTCTTTATCACCTCCTTCAGTGGAACCTCCTGCTCCGAAGCTTTCCGAAAGAAAAAAAAAAGCAAAAAAAAAGGTTCGTTTTTATTTCTTCTGGTTGGCATAGCACCTTTTTTTTTTTTTTTTTGGTGCATGTCATGCAGCACTGTTCATCTGAAAGTCTTCAGAAGTCTTCAGAAGATGTTGGATTTTCAATTCTCATCTTTGGCTGATGTTGGATTTTCAATTCTCATCTTTGGCTGGGAAGGTAGTGGCAGTTGAAGCATCACAGTGCACGGCTGCTATCCCAGTGGTGATAAGAGAGCCATCATGATTGGGGCGTTGCGACAGAGATGGCTCCAGTTCATTGGTGGGTAGCAGCACATGCTGGAAAACAGGTGCAGCATCCTATGATAATACCATTGTCAGATTAGACACAAGATTGAATTTACCTGGGCTGGTTAGTCCGGTGATAATACCTCAAGGCCATCGCCCTTTTTTTTTTTTTTTTTTTTTATAAAGATAATACATTTGCTATTATGGCTTAGACCCCACTGCTCGGCGGTTGGAAAAAATGGTTGGCCGCGGAAAACGGCCAACGCCGTCTGGAAAACCATTTCCAGAAAAAGTCGAGGCCCCACCGCCACGGTCTTGCCGGCTTCTGGAAAAGGACTTCCATTCCCGAAATGGAAAAATGGAAAGTGTGGTGAACCAAGTGGTCCAGCTCCGTGAACCAGCGGCAGAAGTGGACTTGTCCTTGCGGGACGCCGTGGTCGCACCGACATGCCGTGGAACTGTGTGGCACTGTCCCCTGCTGGCATACGGTGCCCTCAGTGTGAAACTAGCCGTTGAGGAGGCTCCCGGCGGCGTCCGTTACAAATTCGGCACACGGGACCGCAAGCCCCCGCGGAACGGAACGGTCCCACACCCGAACGGTGCGACACACGACTGTTGTCCGTGGTTTGAAGAAACGGCCCACCCCATCGTGCACTGGACCAGGCCGTCCGTGCCCTGGTATGGCATCTCAAGAGATGCCCCCCCCCCCTTCAAAAAACAATGGTTTTGGAAAACTGTCGCCGGACGGTGTGACAGTTTCTTCCAGCCGCCGACCGTGTGGAAATGCTTCCGACGGTTTTCCACGACAGTCCGGCATTGGCAGTGGGGTCCGGAATTCGCATTGGCGCACCTTCCTGGCGGTCCAGTGGGGTCCACTAAACATGGAAATGGAAAATGAGTTCCACGCCGCCGGCCAGTGGGGTCCAAGCCTATAACTCGTTTTTGTGACTCTACTGAAGTTACCCCTATCAGTCGAAATTAAACAAAAA